CCTAACGTAGGTCTAAATCTGGGCTTAGCCTCAAGATAACCCTAGGAAGTCTAGGGCTGTGGGTGGAGTCCATCCTCAACCCTATTTTTTCAATGCACCAGGACCCTCAACCCTACCTTAGGAACGGACGTGGGTCCTCAACCCTACCTTAGGAAAGGATGCAGACCCTCAACCCTACCCTCAACCCTAACGTAGGTCGAACTCTAGGCTTAGCCTGAGGATAACCCTAGGATTGTGATAGGTACTTAGCGCAAGTCTAGGGCTGTGGGTGGAGTCCATCCTCAACCCTATTTTTTCAACGAACCAGGACCCCCAACCCTACCTTAGGAACGGACATGTGTCCTCAACCCTACCTTACGAACGGATGCGGACCCTCAACCCTAACGTAGGGCTAACTCTAGGCTTAGCCTCAGGATAACCCTAGCATTACAATAGGTACTTAGCGCAAGTCTAGGGCTGTGGGCGGAGTCCATCCTCAACTCTGTTTTTTCAATGCGCCAGGACCCTCAACCCTACCTTAGGAATGGACGTGGGTCCTCAACCCTACCTTAGGAACGGACACGGACCCTCCACCCTACCTTAGGAACGGATGCGGACCCCCAACCCTAACGTAGGTCGAACTCTAGGCTTAGCCTGGCTGCCGCTTCTAACAATCACCGTGGGTCTGGTCCTTGGCCTCTACAACACCATGGGCTTTATAAAAAAAAAAGGATAACCCTAGGATTGTGATAGGTACTTAGCGCAAGTCTAGGGCTGTGGGTGGAGTCCATCCTCAACCCTATTTTTTCAATGAACCAGGACTCCCAACCCTACCTTAGGAACGGACGTGGGTCCTCAACCCTACCTTAGGAACGGAGGCAGACCCTCAACCCTAACATAGGTCTAACTCTAGGCTTAGCCTGAGGATAACCCTAGGATTGCGATATGTACTTTGTGCAAGTCTAGGGCTGTGGGTGGAGTCCATCCTCAACCCTATTTTTTCAATGAACCAGGACCCTCAACCCTAACTTAGGAACGGGCGTGGGTCCTCAACCCTACCTTAGGAACGGACGCGGACCCTCAACCCTAACGTAGGTCTAACTCTAGGCTTAGCCTGAGGATAACCCTAGGATTGTGATAGGTACTTAGCTTAAGTCCAGGGCTATGGGTGGAGTCCTATACCCCAAACCTATCCCTAGATGAAGTTGAAACCCTGCTCTAGCTTATTGTGCAGAGTCTAGAAAATGCCTAAAATGGAGTGGGTTGATTAGGTCACATGGGATACCTTTGGGTAGATGTGCTTCTTTCCAAGGGTGGAGGATTTTGGGAGTGGTTATCCGGGCAGATAATAACTTTGACTACATACACTCTATCAGTGTGGACGACGTCCTAGACATGGCACTATTGCACACGCATGTGCATGGAGTACGAAGTGCTACTCGAAGTGACACACATGTTAGTGGACTCAACCCAAATGCATCCATTTTCGCCCGTAAAATGTGTTATCTCTTTTTGGTTTTTCTTTTCAATTTTTGTTTCCTCGTGAATTTATATGGGGAAAAAGAAAAAGGAATGCATATGCAAGTGATGGATGGATGAAACATTTGTGAAGACCCTTAGATTAGACATTGGTGGTTCTATTTGAGGACGAGGATGGGGGGGTGCGTCAGGTATTGCAACACCCTACTACGCCCCGTGTTGAGAGTAAGACCGGCGAGTATTAGTGTATGTATATATATATATATATATATATATATATATATATATATATATATATATATATATATATATATATATATGGAGTATGGCGACCACATGGACATTTCTAACACTATTTCAACTTTCAACCAACCCCTACTAACTCAACCCTTGCCGCCGTGATGGTTTGGTCCAAAGGCCGTGATTCGGCCTTCGGACCGCTATACGACTGTTCTGTCTTTTCCCCCAACCACCCCTCCCCTACCGATGGAGCCCCTACCCCCGACACCTCAACCCCCTTCTCCTTCCCTGTCCCATTCCCAACCCCCAAACAGCTTCCAATAGCACACCAAGGGAGCGACAACAGAGGTATACGGATCAGACGGAGCAATGATGGCGGATGTGCCCAACAACAACAACAGTGGAAACAGACCACAGACCCGGTATCTTCGACAGAGAAGAAAGACC